CATCTACTTTTCGCATGTGAACTGCAAGATTCTCAAAAGATTCCTAAATGATTCCAAGGAGAAAATTTTGAAAAAAGAGTGAAAATATCTTGGAAAGATCTGCACGCAAACAATGCGTTTTCCTCCCCTATATAAGGCCTCATCCATCATAAGTGAAGCTCACACTAACCCGCTTATTGAATTCTAGTTTGTCTTAGTGTTTTTACTGCAGGTATGAATCAAGACAAGGGAAAGGGTAAGATGGATGAACTATCCAAAAGACTTGCTGATAAGAAGACCTTCTATCTGGAAGAAGCAAGAAAGCTGACCAATGCGAAAGTTATCAAGATAAGAGAGCATTTCGACAGAGTGGAAATCACACACTCTCCATCTGAAATGATTGGTCAAAGGGAAGAAATTGACAAAATTGTGGCCGATTCACGAGCAAAACATGAGTACTATCTTGAGCATGCTCGAAAGTTTGCAAATGAAAGAGTCATGCTACTCAAGAGAGCAGGTAGCCAATCCTACAATGGACCCCCTACTACTTTTCGCTGGTACCCTATCCCTGAAGGTCCACAAAGTATGGTGGATCTTTCGCATATTCAAATTCGACAACCAGCAGAAGTAGAGTCTCATGTGTCCTCCCTCACTATCAACGAATTGGATGAATACGAGGACCAGAAGTGTGTACTCAAAAGGAGCGATAGTTTCGACTACTCACCATCTGGAACTCCACCTACTATAGAAATCTCTCTAAAATCCATTGCTAGCAGCAAGAAAAAGATAGATTAATATCTAAGTGGCACAATTTCTATTGCTTTTATGATCTATCTTTTCACTTCCCGCAAAATTAAATGAAATCCTCACTTCCATGGTTTTCTTGACTCAAGTAATGTCACAGATTACTATTCAAATTCAATCCAGCCATAATTTCATTTTTGACCAACAAAATGGTCTCAAAACTGATTTGCTAGAAATTTGGTCTAATGCAATAATGATAGATGGAATTGAAAGATGCATTGATGTGACTTAGCATTCAAAAAATTCAAAACGGAAATTGAATGCTGTGGAGAAATTTATGGTCTTAGAAGCTATTATAACCGACCCTTCATTATGGCCATCAAAAATTAGTGACATGTGATCACCCAGAGACGGCTATTTAAAGGGAACCAATCTCTCATATCTTTCACCACAAAGAAAATAGATAGCAAAGAAGGAAACAAATCGGTATATCTCAAGCAACAAAATGATGAAAGCAACAAAAGAAGGAAGAACCTCACCAAAAGAAAACCAAGTCCCGGAAAAACACTGCTAGGCTTACAAAGGAGGACTTGGCAAATCCAAACTTTGATAGGGACTTAGATTTCGTTGATAGTCATCCCCCCAAAGATGATTCAGATAGTGATCCAGGATCAAAGATATCATATAATACTTGGAAAAGAGAAGCATGGGAATGGATGAATGAAGAAACTTCTGAGAGGGAAGTGAAATCTGAGGGGGAAGAATCTTCGGTGGATGGACCAAGTTTCAAAGAGGAGGAAAAGAAATGATTCTCTCCCTATCGAGAAGTTTCAATGAACACATGTTTTCTATATTTAGTTTCAGTGTAATAAGTGTTCATTCTATTGGAGTATGGTAATATATATGGGTTGATTAAGTGTGTTAATCTCTCTATCATTACGAAACTTTATTTGTCTCGTAATGATCATTTATGGATGTCTCCCAATGAATGAGTCTTTATCTTATTCAAAATAGTCTTTTTATTCTCTGGAAATTCACGAGACTGTTAAAAGGATGTCTCAGGGAGAATCTTGCATCAAAGATTTAACTAGTTCCTAAGGAAATTGCCCTTGGACAAAAGAATCTCTGTTATAAGGCTAATAAAGTGACATTGGGAATGCCAATTTGAGTCAACAAAGACAATTAATGTGACATGGAAATGTTTGAGTAACTGAAAAGGTATTGAATGGCCATTCAATCTCCTGTATCACCCGTGATCTTCATTTTTGGCTATAAAAGGAGAAGTTATCTCAAATGAAAATCATCCCATCTTACTCTAAGAAGATCAATCACCATGCCTCCATGAAAGCCTTTCACTAGAGATGCTGCCAAACTACAAAAAGAAACTGCACGTAAGATACGTGAAGAACAGGGTGACCTTTATCTAGGTAACAACATAAGAGCACCATTAGAGGTTTCATCTGATGGTGAACCGTTCCCACACAACAAAGGGTTCCTAGCTGATGATTCAAATAACTTATCTCCAATTGTGGATCAAAATGACGGACTTCCTCCAGTCATCAAGAAGAAAAGAAAGTCCAAAATGTTTCCATCAGAGGATAATTGGAACAACCCGTATTTTGACAGAGACTATCTCACGTTTCTCAGTACGTATGATGGAGAAAATCAATTAGGGATTCTTTCCATAACTGGCGGTTATTCGAAAGGTCTACAACCCAACCATCCGATGAGAAAGTGGAGGAGGATCGTGTGACCGAGAAAATAGGTAAACTACCCCATGATAACGCATGCCGTGTTAGTTGAAAGGACATGCATTAAATATCCATACCCCCATACTCGAGTATCTTCTCTCTCCACATTAAATCCGGAATGATTCTCTTTGATCTGCTATTTGCCTTATCAGACGAATTTCTACAGGGCTTTACCTCTTTTATGAATAGTAGTAAAAAATACGAGGGTCATATACGGTTTTCTACCCACACCTCCTTCATTTAAATTCCGGGTAACCCATATTGCTCACCCGACCCTGAACCAACCCACTCACTATTTAACCTAAAACCCCACTCACCAACCCTTTCCTTCTCAGATACATTTTCTAATCTTCGTCATCTTCCCAAAGCAAACAAAACTCTCTAAACTCCATTCTTTTGAAATTCTCTCTACATTCCATTATCATTAAAATGGCAAAGAAACCACGATCAAAATCTTCCAACAAGGAGGCCAAGGCTACTACCACTGAAGGCTCACTTCCTTACCCCGTTATAGATGAGCAGTTTATTCAAGCAAGGATGCAATTTATTGCTTGTGGATTCATGTGGGATGCCAAACTTCACCACCCACACCTACGCTCGTGATGTGGCTTAATTCTACCTCAATGCTAAGATTTCCTCCGATGCTACCACCATCAACTCTGTGGTAAATGACAAGGAAATATCTATGACCATTGTAGATACTCAAAGGGCATTTGATTTTCCACAAAGAGATGATTCCTATCACCCAGATTTCTCTCAGCATACATTCGATCAACAAACATTCTATGATAGCATTCGAAATGCCCAAACTTCTGCAGAAATCGAATGACCATTGAAGAAGAAATATTTCAAACTTAACTATGAATTCACTGTGGACATCTTTAATAAAATTGTGGAGCACAAGACATCCGGGACGGATGATGTCTCAAGGGACAAACTGAAAATGCTCCATGCATTTCTGAATGGGTTCAAGATTGACTAGTCGAAAGTGGTCTCTAACTTTCTGAGGATAAATGTGGCTACTGGCAAAACAAAACACGGAGAGTTATGGCGAAAGATCGGTTTCGGCTTTATGATCGGACACCTTCTCAACTACAAGAATCTTATAGAAAGAACCCCACCTGGTCCGAAAGTGTGTCATATGAAGTCCAAGCCGCTTGGCTATGACAAACAAAGAGCAGTGGAGATGGAAACGAGCAACAAGAAAGATGATGATGAAGATGAAAGAAGAGAAGAAGGAGGTATTTGAAGCAAACATGACGAGAGAAACGTTGAAAAAGAAGACAAAAGGAATGAGACACCTCCTCCTGCCCCCAAGTCTCGTCAACCAACTCCATCCAAGTCTCGTCATCACTCCAGATCTATCTACTCATTTGTAGGACGAACTTTGAGAGAGAAAAAGAACCTTCGTCAAAGGTTGATGAGGGACAGAAATGTGACAATGGATGGCTCAGGAAATTTTCTTCAGTACAAGGAATATGAGAAAGGAAGCGGAAAAAGGTTTGAAGGATGCAACTTGCCTATATGGTTGAAGAAGAAAGATAACGCAACAAGACAAGAATATCAAAGAAAGGAGAATGAGAAGATAAAGAAAGCAAATTAAAGACTTTGGCTTGAACAAGAAGAAGCCAGAAAGCAGAGATAACAAGACTTCATCAATTTCCAAGAAATACAAGAGAAAATAAAGGATGTCTCGAAAGTTGAGAAAGATACTGATCCAGGTACAAAGTATAGTGCGGTGTTCAAAATACATGAAGGATCATGCAAGAGCTATGTGGAAGGAATGAACTCAATCGAGCTCGTATCATGGTGGAACATCGGCATCATCCCTGGAAGTAACATCCTAGAAGCCTACAAAAATTACATGAGTTATAATGTGACAAAAGAATATGCAGAATTGGCTCAATCCAATCCCGTTCGAACTTTCAGAGATTTGATCAACAATGACCTAGCTATCAAGAAGATGCTCAAGCAACGAAAGGAGCGAGATGACAAAGAACGAGAGGACGCACGACAGATGAAACAGAAACTCTTGAACATGTAATGTGTTTTTAATTTCATTATCTCGTTTGTAATTTGGTTGATCTAAATGAAATTTCGTTTCTTCTTGCTATCTATGTTGAATTATTAAAATTTCTTAAAACTTCATGTAAACTCTACTATCTTGCTATTTTGTAATAAAAACTCCTTTAAAGGACATCCTTCAGCCTCATAACAAGAGTATAGGTTTTAGCATCATCAAAAAGGGGGAAATTGTTAGGAACAAGTGTAATTAGATTTTGATGATACCAAACTTGCTAGGATTGTAGACCCCCTATTTTTATTTCATTGTACAACTTTCGTTGCAAACGAAAGTCATTGTAACTCAACGTATGATTTGCACGAATCTTAGTTGAGGCTAGCATAATAGGTCTACTTGAAGGCTTGAAGATAAAGAGAAGAACGAGAGATCAACTCTGACCGAAAGATGGAAGGGTCTAACTCTCGGACAATCATTGAATGATAAGGAAGGACAAAAGATAAGGACTATCTTTCGAAGTAACCTCTCCGAGACAACAAGTCAAAGTCAGATTTGTAAAGACAACCTTCATTAAGTGAAACAATAAGAATGTTGTCTATGTCTCCCAGTTGGGCAATCATCCTAGACAAAAGGTGTCCTAGGAATGATATTCACAAAAACCAAGGAGCATTAAAGGATTGGTACTTTCTTGTCAGTGAAAAGGACAAAAAGCTATGCTGCTTTCTATCACCAACAGCTACACTGTAACACCCCGTGTTACGGCCTTCAAACCCGAATTAATTATTAAATTAATTTCGTTAATTAAAATAATTAAAAAAGATTTAATTCAATTATAATTCTCTTAATTAATTTATGCGGTCCTCAATGGATCATGAACCTTTGCCTGAACTAGAACCTTATGCCCGTAAGGAATAAGGAAAGTGTACTTTATCATCCAGACTCTGAATAGGTTTTCCCTTAAACATATAAATAGAAGATTAGGAAGCAGTTAGAACCATCCTCACCACTCTCTTACTCGAAAATACATCTCAAGAGATCCAGCCAAGGAATTCCCCCACCATCAAGCTTAGGAAGATCGATTGGGAGAAGAATCTTAGGGAAGAACCTTAGTAGCCGAGGAAATTGATTAGGGCTAAGAGGCAACCCATGTCTTACAAAACCGATTTTCCTTGCTTTTGTTTATTGATTTGGCTACGTTGGTTGATTGAATGTGTGATTTTGTATGTATATCTTGTTAGAGCTTGTCTTTAGGTTTATATGGTGAATTATTGCTATTCTTGATATCCTTGATGGGCCTGTGTGGTTATTAGTTTGATCTTGTATTTAATTATGTCAAGAGCTTGTTCCTAGGGTTAATATCATGAATCTCGTGTTGTGATGTTCTTGGTATTCTTGGGTGGGTTTATGCATGCTCGAGTGTTGATTCATGTGACAACCCAAAATTTAATTTTATAAATTCGATTTTAGGAAATTCTGAAATAGCCATTTTTCACTCCGTAAAAATTTTTGCGATGAAATCGGTGTTGAATAAATTATTTTGAGCCAATTTTAAGTAAATTCAACATCGGCAGTTATTTTAAATCTAAAATCCTAGATTTTCGGGTACATTGCGTTCCAAGTTTTTGATCCAAAAGTCAATCTGAGTGAAACCGGAAAGGAACCTGTGAAACCTGAACCAAGTGTTTTAATTAGAACTATCTTTTAGAAAATCTATTTTGACCCCAAGTTAATCAAAAATCATCTTTCTAGCCTTGGTTCATGATATAAGGTGAACCTTGACTATTTCTACAAGACAAAGCATTTGATGAGATATTTTAAAGCAAGCAATTACATTTTTACCCCTCAACCCTAGCAACAAAAGAACACTATCCTACCCAAACTCTTGTTCATTTTCTTCATCTCCCTTGGCAGCCCTTTTCCCCTCTCTCGTGAATCTCTCACTCTCATATATCCTCCTTCATCTTTGAAGCTTCATCTTCCAAAAACCTAGGCCCAAGACTTGGTAAGATTTCATCTCTTCTTCTCCATATTCCCTTGTTGGCTTGTTTTCTAAGATGAGGTTTTCTAAGCTTAGTTGTGTTTTTGGGTTATTGTGGTTGCTTGAGAGTTGGAGATGGTGGAAGAAGATGAAGCTAAGGAGATGAGCTTAGAATTGGTATTGGCTAGAGCAAGTATTCTCAAGGTATAACCCATGGATTCCCAAATCTAATATTTTGCCTTAAGATATGTGTTTTAGTTGTTCAAGTGTGTGTGTGTGTGTGTGTGTGTGTGTGTGTGTGTGTGTGTGTGTGTATATATATATATATATATATATATATATATATATATATATATATATATATATATATATATATATGTATGTATGTATTTTGGGTGTTTAGGATGATGAAATGTAAGTTATTTGTTGTTGATATGCTGTGTGATTTTGGAGAATTTGAGTATCGGATCTGTGTTATTAAGAGAAGGGAAACAGAGAATAGCAGAAGCCCATTTTTGGGAGTTCACGGACCATAGGGACGGATCTAGGCAAGATCCGTCACCATGGTCCGCTGGAAGTTCACAGACCATAAGGACGGATCTTGACAAAATCTGTCACCATAGTTTGTGGTTGGTTATTGGTTTGAGCACTAGAGTGTGAAGGTTATGCTTGGGATCGATTCTCATGGTTGATATTTTTATGGCCCGTTTGGTTCATAGAGTAGGCCGGGAATGACATACCATTCCCAGTAATAGGCCTATTCCTTTGTTTGGTAACCATTTCTATTACCAGGAATAATATTCCTGGTAATAGCCTATTACCTCAAATAAGGTAATAGCTATTACTAGGCCCCCCCCTGGTATTAGCCTATTACTGAACGCTAAGGAATAGATTTTAGAATCTATTTTCTTTTTTACCCCTTTCTTTAACCTAATTTTTTTTTGTCCCATATATAAATTTATCATATTTCACCACCGTCGTCGCCATCACCACCATCACCGCCGCCGCCACCACCACCACCATCGCCGTCGTCGCCACCACAACCGTCGCCGCCCCCACCACCACTGCCACAACCATCGCCGTCAACCGTCACCGTCACCACTACCACTGCCACCACCACCATCACATATTTTTATAAGGGTATTTATGTCTTTTAAAACATATTTCATTTCTATTCCTTAAATCAACCAAACACTGTAATATAATTCCTAAAGTCTATTCCTTACGCGAACCAAACAACAAAATACAATTCCTATTCTATTCCTAATATAATTCCTAAAGTCTATTCCCTCCGCGAACCAAACAACAGAACACAATTCCTTTTATATTCCTTGTCTATTCCATTCCTTATGGAATAGCATTCCTATTGCCTCAAAATTCAATCCGTGAACCAAACGTGCTGTTAGTGTTAGCTTCAATTTGATGTGTTAAGCTTTGAGAAAAGTGTTTAAGGTAGGATTGAACCCCTAACCTTTTGTTTAACAATCCAAGCCTCTTCCACTTGAGCAACTTCACCCTTTGAGAAGTTATCATGGTTTATTTAATATATTACTTAGGCCTGAAGGTTTATTTATATTTAAAAGTATTTTTATAGAAAATCATAAATATGTTTGAAAAGGGTTTAAACTACCAAAAGCTATGATTTGCCAAGAAAGCTCTATTTCAAGAATTATACATATGAGCATATATGTTTTGGGGAAATATTACACTTGATTTTGAGAATATATACTTATATAATTATGTATGTGGTGTATATTTGATTATAAAGATATTTGAAGCTTATTCTATTATTTCTCTAAAATTTCTTAGCTTTTAACATCGTATATTTTGGGAAATAATATTTATCCCTAGAAAGGTTTAACCTAAGAGCTTTTGATCTATAAAGTGTATAACCCCATGGTCCGTGTGTTGTTCCCTGTGCAGTAGCCGGGCCCTTGCAGCTCATCTACGTGTCGTTTCGGACCTGGTGTCACGGGCCCTTGTGGCTCGGACGCTCGGTACCTTGGGGCCGTCTTGACGCATGTTTGGGCTTTGATTTCGTTGAATTTGGATTAGAAATGAGCATGTTATGGTAGAATTTGCGATGAAATGCTTCACAGTAATGTTTATTTGAGTTCAATGCTTTTTGGAATTGCTTGGTATTACCTTGCTGATGCTATTTGAGTACTTGAATAGAGAAGCATGAACACTTTGTGAATAAGAATTGTTAGAAAAGCATGACCAGAATATGTTGTATATTCAATGGAATTTGAAGTCTATTTTGATGGTAGAAATATACAGAGTTTGATATGTTGCAAACCAAGCATGTTATTGTGTTCTTGAGAGATCACTGTGATATTTAATTTGAAGCATGTTGTACAGTAAATTGCATTCCAAGTAAATCATGTTTTAAAAGTGCATAAGTGGACAACGTGAGCCTAAGTATTATTTTCCAAAAATCTCATTCCACGTAGAGTATCTTTATCTCGTCTCTGAGAATGAATTGAGGAGTATGTGCATGTCTTTTGCATAAGTTAAGTGTTGCATATATGAGATGCATGAGCGATATATCTATATATATCTATGGTGAGGAAAACCTTATTTTGGAGGACCCGTTTGGACTACGTCCTCTCGGAAGAAAGATATGGACGTTGTGGTCCTAGTATATGTAACGCAGCGTATTCCCACGTTACGAGGTTAGAAACTGCCCGCCAGGCTTGGAATCCTAGTCAGGGGGTGTGCACGCTAAAAGTTCGATACCCGATTCCATAGAGTTTGAGCATAGAACCAAGAGAGTGGTTCAGTGGACGAGATGAGTATTAGGCCGGCTAGACGCCGTGCCCGGATAGGTTCGTTCACGATACGGTGAAGTTCCTTCCTCGTCCATTTATAAAGAAAGCGAGTCATTGCGACTCTAAGAAAAGAAAGAAAGAAAGCGAGTCATTGCGACTCTTAAGAAAAGAAAGAAAGCAAGCGAGTCCTTGTGGCTCTAAGAAACCTCCACAGAAAAGTATTCTATTTTACAACCGAGTGTTGAGTATACTTATAGTATTGCACGAGACTGAATAATGAGAATGTTTGCACTAGATTGCATAATGAGTATGATTAGTCGGGATTGTATATTGAGCATGATTTCATTAGTTGCATTTTGATGTCTTATATATCTAGTTTGCAAGATGTGATCTTGAAAGCATGAAGATAATCTCGTATTGGTTGTTAGTATGAAATTGATTGATAGCATGAGTTCGTTATGATGAGTTTTGTAATGAGAAATATGTGTTGGAATATTCATGTTGATGAGTTATTTATATTTGAAGCATGCCTGTTGATATTATAGGTTGCAAGCATATTGAAAGTCTGTGATGTATCTTAAAGTTGTCTAAGTGTTGAGATTGCTTGATTAGAGTTTGTGAACAAATGTTTTTTTTTCCAAAGTATATACTGTAGTACTTTACAGGGTTGAGTGTGGTTATACTTAGCTTCGTGTTAACGAGTGTCTTCCTACTTGTCTACTTGTTGTTTTGTAAAACCCCTTTCAGGTGGGCCCAACGTTTGAGAGTTGATCGAGTTAGACTAGTTTAGAAGATCTAATAGTCTAGACTCTTTTTATTATTATGATGTTTGTTGATGGATTGTAGACTTAGGCTACCTATATTTGATGATAGACATTGGGGTGTTTT